TATTATTAGACAGGATACACACACACACACACACACACACACACACACACACACACTAGAGGCCCAGTGCATGAATTCGTGCACATTCGAAAGAAATTAATTAGAAGGTGGCCGGTGGGGCAGGACTGGGCGAGATGGGCTGGACACACCCTGGAGCCAACCTCCCGTGGTCCCTCCCTGGCTAGCAGCACCTGGGGCGGTGCTGGGGCTTGAAGGGCATTAGCGGAGTGAGCAGGGTCCCTCCGGCAGGTGGGGTCCCTCAGCCTGGCCTGCAGGGATTGGGCTGAAATCAGCAGTCCGACATCCCCTGAGGGGTCCCGGAGTGTGAGAGGGCACTCTATAAAGTTGCTGTCGCTCGGCAGCTCCTGTGTTGAATGTCTGCCCCCTGGTGGTCAGTGCGTGTCATACCTACTGGCTGGTCAGCTGGTCGGCTGGCCGGCCAGTCAGCTGGTCACTTAGCCTTTTATATGTATATATATATTTTTGTTTGTTTGTTTTTAGTGATTTCAGAGAGGAAGGGAGAGGGAGAGGTAGAAACATCAGTGATGAGAGAGAACCATTGATTGGTTGCCTCCTGTATGCCCCACAGTGGGATTGAGCCCGCAACCTAGGCATATGCCCTGACTGGGAATTGAATCATGACCTCCTGGTTCATAGGTTGACATTCAGCCACTGAGCCACACCGGCCAGGCTATCTACTCTTTATTTACCAGTTTGGGAACATAGTTGACAAAGAGAATGGGCAGTGATGGAGAAATAAAGAATGTACATTACAGCATAGATTAGTGCTAGAGCACAGATACTAACCTGTTGATAGTATCTGGAGGTTGAAATTGTGGGCCTTTGTTGATGCCTGCTAAAGTGACTTCATTTTAAATGGGCTGAGTCCTATGAAGATTAGACAAGTAATAATTACAAAATTTCAGTGCTTTACAAATGAGACAAAGAGTTGACTTAATGCTTGCTTGAAGAAATCAAGTCTTTTTTCCCACTAAAAAAAAAAAAAGGCCTTAAAAATGTAGGCCAGTAAGCCATCATAGAATGGCTTTTAATTGGATAGAAGTCAGAGGAAGCTTAGTCTTCTTTGTTACATACAGAGAAGGCAACTAGTTTCCTGTAATTTCAGGAGTGTGCTAATGTTCTTGGAAAGAGATGATTCTTGATTTTTAAAAGTACATGAAAAAATTTCAAAGAAGATTGATAGTCTGATAGTTTTTTTTAAGACTAGCAATCATACTATAACAAACAGTGGAGCTTGAAAATTTTTTTTTTTTAATTTTCTCACCTTATCCATCACATTTCATTTAAAATATTTGCCTGACCTGCTTTCCTTTTATCAAACCCTAGCATTCTATTATTACCAGTATCAGAGCTGATAATAATGAACTTTCCAGTCTTCAACATTTATTGAAGCCTGGACTTTTGGAGTTCTAATCAAAAAGGTTCAGAGCTGAATGGAGTGGCTGGGGTGAGCTGATATGCTTCTGAAGAAGTTAGTGTGGTAGCCTAGACATATAGTGGGATTTTTCTGGCATTTGAAGAATATTGTAAAGAAATAGGCCACTAAAATTAGCTAGCCATTACTTAAGATAGAATGATTTTGAACTTCTTCAAGTTAAGATTTGCCTTTGTAGAGGACTTTAGGATTTTTTATTTGATAGGCCATGAATGAGTTCATTTTTTGCTCATTTTTATAGTTGTGACTATCATGTAATTTGGTCCTTCAGTTACTGTATAAAACCATAGGATTGCATCTATAAATGTGCCATCTTAATGTCTTCTTGTTCCTCTAGGTCAGCCTGCCAGTATACTGGCAGGCAGCCATAGTGAAGGATTGTTGCAGATAGCTTCAGGGCCTCAGCCAGGACAGCAGCAGAATGGATTTACTGGTCAGCCAGCTACTTACCATCATAGTATGTACATGCTTTTTAAAATATTTTAAGTAGTTGAGAAGTAGGCAGACTTTATAAAAACAAATTAATCCATGTGGGCCTTAATTTTTAGACAGCACTACCACCTGGACTGGAAGTAGGACTGCACCATACACACCTAATTTGCCTCACCACCAAAACGGCCATCTTCAGCACCACCCGCCTATGCCGCCCCATCCCGGACATTACTGTAAGCTCTTGTTTTTGTTGTAAGGGCCTTTTCTTTTTGAGGACTTCGTTTTTTTTCCATTTAAAAAATGTTTTTACATCTTTTGTTCATTTTACAATTTAGTTTTATTAAATGATTAGAGTTTTTCAGTATTTTTGGTAAACATTTTTTATTACTGTGTTATCATACCTTTGTTTTAGAAGAGTAATGTTTACTAAACACATTTATTTTTCCATTGCTAATGTTTCATTAACACCACATTGATTTCCATTCATTTGTTTGTTTGCTTTGTGCATGTTCTTAGATCTCATGTGTATCTGTATATCCACCCCATGTTGATTGAAACCCTTTGAGTGTCAAGATCTCAAGGTTTCCCTCACTGTAGTATTTAGCATACCATAGACACTCTGATGTCGAACCCATCATTGCATCTGCAGGCATGATTTGGGAGGGATACCCTATTGATTAACCATAGCTTGTAGTTTCAGGCAGAATAGGAACTTTGTTCTTTTGGCTTAGTAAAATCAATAGTATAAATCTTTCATATATATTAAATCTTTTTCCCTCTTATATAAGGTTAATAGTCCCAAAGAAAACTTAAAAAAAAAATAGAAGTGTATAAATAAGAATCCTGCTACCCAGAGATACCACTTGTAATACTTTGTCATGTTTTCCTTCCAGTCATATAAATGGGTATATATAAATTTGGGGGGAGGAGGAGATCATATTGTGTATATTGTTATATCCTGTTTTTTTTTTTTCAGTTATGTTATTATTTTTTGATATCTTAAGAGAATATAATTTTTAATGGCTGCTGAGCCAGCATAGTGGTTAAGGGTGCTGAATTTGGACCCTTAACTGGCTGTGTGACCATTGGCAAGTTATTTAATCTCTCTAAGCCTTAAGGGTAACAGTAGTAATTAGTAGTATCTAAACCAATGTTATAAGAAATAAATGTAATAATTCATGTGAGATGTTTAGCACAATGTCTTAACACATAATAATCTCTCAATTATGTTAGCTACTGTTCCATTATGGAAATAGCCTTAATTTAATAAGCCATAAACACTTGTTTTTAGAATGGACCTAACAATTTGAGTTATTATTACATATTACATTATAAATTATATTGTATTACATGTTACATGAATAATTTATAATTTACATTAAGTTTTGCATGTACAACTATTGTAAATTGCTTAACAGCACTAGTGCATATAGCACTAAATGTTAGCTATTAAATATCTATAAAAGTAATTCAAGAGTATTTGCTTATTATAATTATGAAGTAATCTAAATTAAGCTCTTAAGTTCTTAGACATTGCAGAAACTTGATCCAAAAAGCTCTTAAGGTATGATAGTTATATTTAAATAAGGTATATCAAAAATTTTAATATTAGTGAACTTTTAATAAATAAAATTGGGATTTCTATTATCTTTTCTTTAGGGCCAGTTCACAATGAGCTTGCATTCCAGCCTCCCATTTCCAATCATCCTGGTAAGTGTATTTTAAAATTGATTCCCTATAATTAGATTTTCTTTATGGTAATAGAAAAACACACACAAACACACATATGCGGGTTTTAATGTAATACAGAGTTATTTAAGGTTTAGATAAGTACAGTTCTCATAGCATTAGTTAATAGTTTACGAGTAACCATTATAGTCACACACAAATTGTCTATATATATATTTTTAACTGTCTCTGAAAGAAAAGATAAGAGCTGTCTTCAGCTAAAATGTAAAATACCAAAATGCTGGTTTTAGCATTGAATACATAAATATGCAGCAGAAGAAACTGGGTTTCAAATAGAACACAATGTAAAATTGTCACTTAAAAAGCTACGGAAGCCCTGGCTGGTTTGGCTCAGTGGATAGAGCATCAGCCTGTGGACTGAAAGGTCCCAGGTTTGATTTCGGTCAAGGGCACATGCCCAGGTTGTGGACTCAATCCCCAGTGGGGGGCATGCAGGAGGAAACCAATCAATAATTTTCTCATCATTGATGTTTCTATCTCCCTCTCCCTTCCTCTCTGATTAAAAATAATAATAAAAAATTTTTAAAAAGCTAGGGAAGGATCTGAAGTAGATCCTGAAAAGAAAAATAAGTCACTGTATCTATCTTAGAAGATTTAGGAATCTCTGGCTAATTGAAATGTAGAAACGGATTAAATTATGCTCAAAAGAGAGCATAGCTAAGTAGATTTTCTCAGTTCATAGTTTGAATATAACTTCTTAAATTATAGAAGTAATAAAACAAAGTTTAGAAATAAAATACTGAAGGCTTCTTAACATAAACATAGGATTTTGATTTTTCTTTCCTCTATCCCTTCATAACTGTTTTTCTTATCATAAAAAGATGCAAAGTATATCATTTTAACTCATCCCCTTAATTTTCACCCTAATTTTAAAAATGTTTTATTATAAAGAATTTCAAACATACAACAAATACCAGAATAATATGGGAGATCCCTCCCTCATTGTACTCATCCCTCAGTTTTAGCTATTAACAATTAATGGCCAATCTTGCTTCATTCATACCCCCCCACCCCCACTTCTCATTCATACCCTTATCTATTATTCTGAAGAAAATCCTATATAGCCATCTTATTTATTTATTTATTTATTATAGATTTTTATTGATTTCAGAGAGGAAGGAAGAGGGAGAGAGATATAGAAATGTCAGTGATGAGAGAGAATCATCCATCAGCTGCCTCCTGCACACCCCCTACTGGGGATTGAGCCCGCAACCCGGGCATGTGCCCCGACCTGGAATTGAACCACGACTTCCTAGTTCATAGGTCAATGTTCAACCACTGAGCCACGCTGGCGGGGCTATGGTCATTTTATATGTGAACTAGAGGCGTGGTGCATGAAATTCGTGCACCGGGGTGGGGGTGGGGTCCCCTCAGCCCAGCCTGCACCCTCTCCAATCCGGGACCCCTCGGGGGATGTCGAACATCCCTGTCACAATCCTGGACTGCTGGCTCCAAACTGCTCACCTGCCTGCCTGGTCACCCCTAACTGCCCCCCCTGCTGGCCCGGTTGCCCCCAACTGCCCCCCTCTGCCAGCCTGGTTGCTCCTAACTGTCCCACCACCAGCCTAGTAGCCCCTTATAGCCCCACTGCTGGCCTGGTCCACGCAGCCTGCTCTGTTCAGTCGTATGGTCGTCCCTCACTAACCCCCCTACTGGCCTGGTCATAGGCAGCCATCTTGTGAGGGTGTGAAGGTTAATCTTTATTATATAGGATACTTTAGTACATATTTCTAAAAAAGATTTTTAAAAAATATTACTATAGTTACCATAATGATTAATTTAAAGGATAACATATACTTTCTCAAATAGATCTGTATAATTTTCTTAAACAATGTTTTATTATTTATTATTTATGTTGGTTCCATTTATTCATCTGGCTGTTAAGCAAAACATTGAGGGTAAGATCTTGATGCTTATAACTCTTCATTTTAAGAAATTTGAAGAATTTCTGGATCAGAAGGCCAAATTGATTTAAACATTAGAGTATGAGAAGCACTTTTACCATGCTCACCAGCAGTGTGATAGTTAATAAACTTTGTGCTGATTTAGGATGCAAATAATATTTATTTTGATTTGGAGAAAAATTCTGATTCAAAAAATGTTCAGAAACATTTTTTTAAACATATGTATTACTTAGTTAAGTTATTAACTATAGTAGATTTTGTATATGTTTGTTATTTTAAACATTTTTATGGGTCAAGGGGTCTTACCTTTATATAAACACTAGAGGCCCGATGCATGAAATTTGTGCAAGGGGCTACACCCCTACCGCAGCGGTGGCTACCGCTGCCTTGGCTGCCTCTGCCTCGGCCCGCCACCACAGTTTCATCTGGAAGGTCGTCTGGAAGGATGTTCGGTCTAATTAGTATATTATCCTTTTATTATTATAGATTTTTATTGGGAAATATAAATAGAAAAGTATATAAAACATGTATACATATAATCTAATGAATAACATTAAAGCCAATACCTATATAACCACCACCCAGATTGAAAACTAAAATATTGCAGCACCCACAAAAACCTTCCTACCTCAGGCATTTTGTTTGTCAAAAACTTTTCCTCCCCTACCCCAGCAGTAACCATGATCCTGCTTTTTATAAATATTACTAGAGGCCTGGTGCCCAAAATGCGTGCACTCGACGGGGGATGGGGGGAGCCCCCTCAGCCTGGATTGCGAGAGAGCATAGGCCAGGCCGAGGGACCCCACCGGTGCACGATTGGGGCCAGGGAGGGATGCAGGAGGTTGGTCAGCTGGGGAGGGACCGCGGGAGGGCTCCAGGGCTTGTCCAGCCTGTCTTGCTCAGTCCCGATCTGCCCGACCCCAGCAGCAAGCTAACTTACCAGTTGGAGCATCTGCCCCCTGGTGGTCAGTGCACATCATAGCGAGCAGTTGAGCATCCTTAGCATATCATTAGCATATTATGCTTTGATTGGTTGAATGACTGACTGGACACTTAGTATATTAGGCTTTTATTGTATAGGATTATTTTTTTTTTTTTACTCTTTGAAAGTGATGACTGCATCCCTAAACAGTCTGGTTTAGTAGTTTGGTTTTATTTGTATTTGAAATTATAGAATTGAAGTCATTGATCAGAATCTTAATTTTGTTTGTGAATAAATATATTGTGATCAGAAGGGAATACCTAGAATCTTAAGAATGAGAATTTTTGCTGGTTTCAAGGCAGCATCCTTGAGAGTTAATAGTGACCTCTAGCAATTTGGGGGTCATGGGATGGGGTGTGGTGTCAGTCTTCAAAAGGCTTAGTGGAAGGTGATCTACAGGAATGAGGGTAATCAGGGCTCTGAAGAAAGACCTACCCTAGATGGAACGGTGTGTGGGGTTGGGAGTGGTGGCATTTAGCTAGTTCTGTGAACTCAATTTTATATCCTGCAATCACTTTTGTCCTCATGATAGCTTTACTTCATTCTTCTCAGGCTAGAACCGATGTTGAGGCCTAAGAGCTTCTGGTGGTGAGGGAGCAGCATTAACTAGTTCTGAGCCATGCATCTGTAGTTCTGCATTGGCAGGAAGGCCTCTGTCTTTGAGAGTAAATAGGAAGGGACTCAGTGGTGAGGATGATCCTGAAAGGTCTCTTGTCCAAGTGGTTGCAGGAGGGGACCAGCTCTGCCCACACACCTTTAATCGATCAGCTGGTTGGAACCCAGAAGGCTGTGAATGCTTTGGCTGTGAATACTAATGGGCCCTAGAGCAGTTTTACCTCACAACATTTATTTTCCTCTTGAACTGTTAACAGAATATTCTAACTGATCTCCCTATTTTTTATTATTTTTATTTTGGTAAGAGAACATTTATTGGGCAAATTACAGAGGTAGAAGTAATATCTAGAAGAAATGGGCTTAGGCAACAAGTTCCAGAGGTAAAGGAAGGGCCCTTGGAGCTTGGGAGTGAGGAAGCTGATGGTAATGTACCTGGGTGGGGAGGGAGAGAAGGTAGGGAGAGGCACGGGTGTGCTCCAGGGAGGGAGCGCGCACTGGGTCCTCCATCTTAAGCGTTTGAAGGCAGAGATTTTTGGGGAGGTCCCAGGGAAAGATCTTAATAGGATACACGCAGCTCTTCAGGTGTATCCTTTCAGGGTTGTGGTCTCCAATGATTGATAGGCAGGCACCAGGGCAGGGGGTCAGTATTCAGTGCAGCAGCTGGTCCTGCTGTCAGCATTGGCTGTTTTTTTCCTTATCTGGGTCTGGGGCTGAAATACAAGGAGTGATGGCGTCTTCCCGGGCCAGGTCGACTGTGCATGTGCCTTGGAATCTGCCAGCAGGCAAGACACGTGGCACCAAATATGCTGTAGGCGGTGGGAACAGCACCAGGTGTCTGACCGGTGGGGTCAGACCAAACCTGGGTTCAGCAACCTGGGTACTTGGGTTCTGGCTGGGGTGGGGGTGAGGCAGGGAGAGAGGGTAGGGAAAGGCCTGGGCTGCACCATGGGGGGAGAGCACCTGATCTCCCTATTGAGAAGGCTTCCAGTCATATTGCCCTTCTCCTCACCATTTAATATCTACTACACTTAGCATTTCTTTTTTTTTCTTTTTTTTTCTGTCTCTTCTGGTGTTATTTATAGAAATTTAAAAAAAATTTTTTTTTTCTTTTTCTTTTTTTTTCTTTTTAAGCCTCATGCAAGGATATGTTTATTGATTGTAGATAGATAGAGAGAGAGAGAGAGAGAGAGAGAGAGAGAGAAACATCCATGTGAGAGAAAAATTTAGATCAGTTGCCTTCTGTACACACCTAGAGAGACTAAGGATTGAACCCAAAACCTGGGCATGTGCCCTGACCCCCGGACCTCTCAGTGTACAGGACGACACGCCAACTGAGCCACACCAGTCAGGGCAAGAGGACTTTTATCTGTCATAAAAGATTCTCACAGGGCATCTCATTCAGATCTAAATAATATAAAGAATAATTCATAACGAATCTCTTAGGTGCTTTATCCAAATTTCTACCTTCTAAAAAAGTTAACCAAATTGAAAAATATTTTCTTGAATGACTTGATTTCAGAAATTAAAGATAATGCCTTGGAGATGTAGACTTTCCATTATAATTGAACAGCATTTGTTTGACAAAACTGTGCTTTATGTGTCCCCATTACAAAGCATATTTAGCTAAGTTCTTAGATTGTAAAAAAAGTTTCATGTTGTTAACTCAGCCTTTTACAACCTTTTCTCTGGCCAGTGATGAGCACCCAACTTCACTACTTTGGGAACAAGAAACAAAATATCAATGGTCAGCACAGTGGGCAGAGAGCAGTGCCACTGCCTTTGAAAGGCGTTGGGGCATTAAGAAAGTGCTCTCTGACCCAGTGACTTCAGCCTGTGGGGATGGTAACTTTGTGAAGCTGCAGGCTTGTCACTTACATGGCATTTGGTTCTTGGAGCAAAAGAGCAAAGAGAGATCTAGAAAGGCCTAATGAACTTAATGAATTCTTAGGATCTGCTCCTGTTTTAAAAGTAAGAATGTTCCCTCTCATCTGGTTAGCAGATTTGGAGTGGGATAGAAAAGTTCTCACATGGTGTGCTGTATCCCAGCACTGCCCAGTTCCCTGGAACCCATTTAGATGACCTCTGGCCCTCTCTGTCCTCACAGACAGTAACCACCTTCCTCCTGCTTTCTGAGGCCTCATGCCCTCTTCATGATGGATGGTCACTTTTCATTCCTGGTTTGTGGTACATCTCTTCTTCCTAGCCGAGCGGGTCAGCTTTTCAGAGTGTAGCTTCATGTAACCATCCTTGTTGTATGGTGTCTGAAATATTAGGGAAACAAACAAAAAACCCTTGGTGACTGGAAAATAATAAAATGCGTTTAAGTGCAAGTACAGATATTGCAGTTCATGATAACAGTATGTTTTTTTATTTAAACAAGAAGATTTTACCACTCCTTTCCCCCACCCTGAATTGACTCTCATGAAAAATGTTGCTCACGATGGAACTTTCCTTCTGGATAGTGTTCTTCAGTGTGAACTAGGAAGGCATGTATTTGCACCTCATTTTTTTAATCATCGTTGTAAACATTCATGACTTCAGGGCATTGTTTGTAACGAAATTTACTTTTTGGACTCATTGTGTAAAGACCTCTTTTAAGGGCTGTTACTGGTTTTAGCTGCCAGAGCATGGGTGCTTGGTATGTTGGCTTTGATAACCTCTAGTTTAGCTTCACGCAGCATCCCTGCCAGGTGTTTGGTGAAGCTTCTGGTTCATAGCAGAATATGATGTCTTTACTGAAGAATTTTACTCTAAGGAATAACTTCATAAATATTTCAAAATGGGATTTTTAATAAGGCACTTTATGTCACTAGTTTTCATGTTGTAATGATAATAAAAATATTTAAAGGAATGTTTGTATTCATGATTAGTTGATTTGATCTGTTTGAAAAACCATTTGAAATTTTAATTTTTGTATCTTCATGGTCTGTTTTATTAATTCTTCATTGGAAAGTATTTTCTTCCTTGACAACATTTTAAAAATCAATTAGATACATAGAATACAAGGTTTTTAAAAAATGTATTTTAAGCATCAGTTATACTTCATTTTAAGATTTTTTCAAAAAAAAGTGAGAGGGATAGAGAGTTAGAAACATCTATGAGAGAGAAACATTGATCAGCTGCCTCCTGCACACTCCCTACTGGGGATGTGCCCGCAACCAAGGTACATGCCATTGATTGCAATCGAACCTGGGACCCTTGAGTCTGCAAGCTGACGCTCTATCCACTGAACCAAACTGGTTAGGGCAGAATACAAGGTTTTTAAAAAATGTATTTTAAGCATCAGTTATACTTCATTTTAAGATTTTTTTGAGAGGGGGTTAAAAAGATCTATTTTTCTATCTTTTCAGATTGCTAAAAGTTTTATTGCTTCAAGTTCTAGTCCAATCAGAGTTCATAAATAGCACATTGATGTGCATATAAGTAATTGGTTAATCAGCAGAAACCTTTACAAACCCAACCAAGTAGTGCCTCCTTTTTCCTCTAATCATTCACAATTATTTTAAATCATTTGTTGTTGTTCAAATGAATACACTAAATCAGTGGTTCTCAACCTTCTGGCCCTTTAAATACAGTTCATCATGTTGTGACCCAACCATAAAATTATTTTCGTTGCTACTTCATTACTGTAATATTGCTACTGTTATGAATCGTAATGTAAATATCTGATATGCAGGGTGGTCTTAGGTGACCCCTGTGAAAGGGTCGTTTGACCGCCAAAGGGGTCGCGACACACAGGTTGAGAACTGCTGGAAAGGGAAGGGTTTACATCCAAAGGTTGTTCAAATGAATACACTAAATCCATCTTCAGCGTTAAAATCGTAGTAGTTAACATGGCTTGACTTCACTAAGAGATACAACAAATGACCTTTCAGCCAAGAGACAATTGAGAATTCCCGCTCATGGCAGCTGTCTAGTTAGAGTGTAATTAACCTTGACTCTGGTCTGAATGAATGGCTGAGTAGCTTGGGTCCTTACACTCAATTAGGGAACTAGAAGAATATGCTATAAATTGATGTTTTCGATAATATTTCTCTGGAATATGTCTTTAAGTCAGTGTGTTTAAAAAAAGAAAAGTTTAGTCTGCTTTAGCGGTTAGATCATGGTCCTGATTCGCCAGGGTCGCAGGTTTGATCGCCTGTCAGGGCACATGCAAGAATCAACCAATGAATGCATAAATATAAGAGGAGCAACATTAGTCTCTCTCTCTCTCAAAATCAATTTTAAAAATTAAAAAAAAATATGTGCAGTGAAATGAAATACCATGGTAAAATAATTTACTTTCTGTCCTGATTACTTTTGTTCTTTGAATTCTCAGTTGACTGGGTCTTTTGAGGTAAGAACCAAATTCCAGATTTTGAAAACGACTAGAGTTTCAAGAATGCTAGGCACTGAGCTGAAAAATAGAAGACAGGAAAAGCCTAGATATTTAAAGCATCGTCATTTTATCAAATTCTTTTGGGTGCTTTTCAGATTCCTCTTCTGTCCCTTCAGCCTTTATTTTAGGAAAAGCTTTGCCTTATGGAGTGACGTTTGCTCCCATTTGTCTCCTCTAGCTCCTGAGTATTGGTGTTCCATCGCTTACTTTGAAATGGATGTTCAAGTAGGAGAGACATTTAAGGTTCCGTCAAGCTGCCCTATTGTTACTGTTGATGGATATGTGGACCCTTCTGGAGGAGATCGCTTTTGCTTAGGTCAACTCTCCAATGTCCACAGGACAGAAGCCATTGAGAGGGCAAGGTATTGATTGTATAGGTATTTTAAAAGTTGAGTACACTATATTGCCTTTTAGTCAGTTATATTTCTCAGTGTAGATAATGTGTGTTCCACTAGGAAAAAAGAATAAAGGTCATCTTGAAAATTCAGAATCAGTAAGCATTCCACTTGTAGATGTTTGTTATTTAAAATATGAAAAAATGGTCTTAAAACTTTTTTTAAATTTATGTACAGTTGGTATACAACCTTATCTTGGTTATATTAGTTTCAGGTATACAATATAGTGACTCAACATTTTTATACCTTACAGTGTGATCGCCCCACTAATTCTAGTAATCAATCATGTTAAACATCACAATATTATTAACTAAACTAGAGGCCCACTGCATGAATTCGTGCATGGGTGGGGTCCCTCAGCCTGGTTGGTGATCGAGGCCTATCAGGGTGCTGGTCGGCAGGCGGGGAAGGGCTGCGGGAGGTTGGCTGTGGGAGCACACTGACCACAAGGGGGAAGCTCCTGCATTGAGTGTGTATCATAGCAACTGGTCAACCTGTCCTTCCAGTTGTTTGGTTGTAATGGTCGCTTAGGCCTTTTATATATAGACTAGAGGCCCGGTGCACAAAAATTTGTGCACTCGGGGGGCGGGGGGAGGGGGGTCCCCCAGCCCGGCCTGTGCCCTCTCGCAGTCTGGGACCCCTCGGCAGATAACGACCTGCTGGCTTAGGCCTGCTCCCGGGTGGCAGAGGGCAGGCCCAATCCCTAAGTGCAGCCCCTGGTCAGGCTCAGAGCAGGGCCGATTGGGGAGTTGGGGCACCGCCCCCTGTCACACACAGAGCAGGGCCCATCAGGGGGGTTGGGGCGCCACCACTGTCACACTCAGGGCAGGGCCGATGGAGAGGTTATGGCTCTACCCTGTCACACACAGAGCAAGGCCCGTGGAGGGGGGTTGGGGCGCCACCCTCTATCACCCACAGAGCAGGGCCGATCAGGGGGTTGGGGCGCCACCACTGTCACACTCAGGGCAGGGCCGATGGAGAGGTTATGGCTCTACCATGTCACACACAGAGCAGGGCCGATCAGGGGGAGTTGGTGTGCTGCACCCTGTCAAACACAGAGCCGCAGGGCAATCAGGGGATTGGGGAGCTCCCCCCTATCAGGCACAGAGCAGGGCAGATCAGGGGGTTGGGGTGCCTTCCCCTGTCACGAACAGAGTAGGGCGGATAGGGAGGTTGTGGCCCCGCCCCCTGTCACACACAGAGCTGCAGGGCGATCAGGGGGTTTGGGCACTGCCCCCTGTCACACTGATCCCGGTGCTGGGAGCCTTGCTGCTCCGCTGATCCCGGTGCTGGGAGGCATATTACCCTTTTACTATATAGGATAAAGGCCTGGTGCATGGGTAGGGGCTGGCTGGTTTGCCCTGAAGGGTGTCCTGGATCAGGGTGGGGGTCCCCACTGGGGTGCCTGGCCAGTCTGGGTGAGGGGCTGAGGGCTGTTTTCCGGCTGGCGAGTGACTAAAGCTTCCAACCGCTCCTTGTTTTCTTCTCTCTCTTTTTTTTTTTTCTGGGCCAGCTTTAGCTCTGAGGCCTCACTGCTGAAAACATAGATACAATGTTGAGGTCCGAGCCCGGCTGAATGGAAGCCCTTTTCTGGGGTTTTGTTTAGCTTCTTATTTGCAACATAGTATATAGTTGCTTAGAGTTGCAACTGAGAGGCTGGCAAGTGAGGCGGAGAACGTTGGAATCTGCAGCAAGCAAGCCTCCCTGCTCGCTTCAGTGCCTGGCTGCCGGCCGCCATCTTGGCTGACAGTTAATTTGCATATACTCACTGATTAGCCAATGAAAAGGGTAGCGGTCGTACGCCAATTACCATGTTTCTCTTTTATTAGTGTAGACTAGAGGCCTGGTGCACAAATTCGTGGACCAGTGGGGTTCCTCGGCCTGGTCTGTGGGATTGGGCCGAAACCTGCTCTCCAACATCACCTGAGGGGTCCTGGATTGCAAGAGGGTGCAAACCAGGCTGAGGGACCCCAATGATGCATGATCAGGGCGAGGGAGGGATGGGGGAGGTTGACCAGCTGGGGAGGGACCGTGGGAGGGTTCCAGTTATGTCCAGCCCATCTTGCTCAGTCCCAATCGGCTGGACCCCAGCAGCAAGCTAACCTACCAGTCAGAGCGTCTGCCTCCTTGTGGTCAGTGCATGTCATAGCATGCAGTTGAGCGGCCTTAGCATATCATTAGCATATTACACTTTGATTGGTTGAACAGACAACTGGACGACTGGACACTTAACATATTAGGCTTTTATTGTATAGGATTCCCCTTTCTCTTTTTACCCATTCCCCCACCACCTCCTTTCTGGTAACTATTCTGTTGGTCTCTGTTTCTATGAGCCTGTTTTTATTTTGTTTTGTTTTTTGATTTCTCATATAAGTGAAACCATACGATATTTGTCTTTCTCTGCCTCACTCATTTTACTTAGCATAATACCCTTGTTGTCAAAATGACAAGGTTTTATTCTTTTTGTTGCTGCTTAATATTTCATTATGCCACAACATCTTTAAGATTCTTTTGTTGGTAAGTGAGGTTCCTGTTTTGAATAGTAACAAGGCCTTTTGGAATCCAATTTAAAAACTAATTTTCATATCCTCCAATCATGTATTCTACACATATATTGAAAAGAAATAATATAAAATGAAGACATGGCTCTGCATGTGTTATTTATAATGTTGGGGAACAATGAAAGGGAAGTGGTTGAGTACATTTTGATAAACTTTTATTTTTATGTAGTCATTAAAATGTTAATAAAATGTTTATATAATCACATGTAAATGCTTAAGATGAAATATTATAGGAAAACATACACAGTGTTAGGTACTTTGTAATCTCAACTCTAAGAAAATGTGTGTGTGTAAATACATAATCTTGGCTCTATCGCTAGCTGTGTGTCTTTGGTAAATCACCTGGACCCTAAGCCATTGCTGTCTAATAGAAACGTCTGTGATGAAGGGAATGGCTTGTATCTGTGTTGTCCAGTACTGTAGCCACTAGCCACGTGTAACTTTGAGCACTTAAAATGTAGTCATGTGATTAGCTTGATTTTCAAATTATTTTTAATTAAATTAAATGGCCACTTATAGTAGCTAGTGGCTATCAGTTTGGACAGTGTAGCTATAAGCCTTAGTTTAATCATTTTTTAAAAATATATTTTATTGATTTTTTACAGAGAGGAAGGGAGAGGGATAGAGAGTTAGAAACATCTATGAGAGAGAAACATCGATCAGCTGCTTCCTGCAAACCCCCTACTGGGGATGTGCCTGCAACCAAGGTACATGCCCTTGACTGGAATCGAACCTGGGACCTTTCAGTCCGCAGGCCGACGCTCTATCCATTGAGCCAAACCGATTAGGGCCTTAGTTTAATCATTTATAAAGTGAGAATAATAATATTTAGCTCATTGAATTGAAGGTTCAGTGAGAATTTATGTTAAATGTTTCTGACACATAGTAACTAAGCATTATATTATGCATACTAGTGGCCTGGTGCATGGATTCATGCACATTGAAAGAAATTAATTAGAAGGTGGCTGGTGGGGTGGAACTGGGTGAGACAGCTGGACACGCCCTGGAGCCAACTTTCTGTAGTCCTTCCCTGGCCGGCCACACCTGGGGCAGTGCCTCAACTCAAAGGGTGTCTGCAGTCACCGCAGCTCAGCAGTAAACCAGATTCGGGGCCGACAGTGTCCCAGCAACAACATAACCCACGGCCAAAGGTGGAATTGCGTGGCCCCGTGAGGAATTGGGTTCCCTCCTTTCTGGTTCTAGGGTGCATGACCCGAAAACCACCACTGCCAAGTCACCACAGCTCGGCAGCTCTTGCGTCGAGCGTCTGCCCCCTGGTGGTCAGTACATGTCATACCAACTGGCCGGTCATATACTAGTAGCCGATGCACGAAGATTCGTGCAAGAGTGGGCCTTCCTTCCCCTGGCTGCCAGCACTGCCTTCGCTCTGGCCTGGAGCCGCCTTTCTGCCTTCGCTCTGGCCCAGAGCCACCTTTCCGCCTTCCCATGCTGCTCAGAGGCCCGGAGTGGCTGGGGCTGTGCAGAATTCCTGCATCCCACCCCATACCCGGCTGCTCAGGTCCTGCTATGCAAATTAACCTGCCATCTTTGGTGAGCTAATTTGCATACTCACTCCTGATTGGCTGTTGGGCGTCACGAAGGTACGGTCAATTTTCATCTTTCTCTTTTATTAGTGTAGATATATATCCATCATTATTATATATGAACTAGAGGCCCAGTGCATGAATTCGTGTACCAGTGGGGTCCCTTGGCCTGGCCAGTAATTGGGACCGATTGGGGCCATCTCTCCTAGTCCCGATTGGAGCTGATGGGGGCCTGCCGGCCAGGAAGGGACCGCGGGAGGTTGGCTGGCCGGGGAAGGACCACGGGAGGGCTCCAGGGCATGTCCGGCCCATCTCACCCAGTCCCAATAGGCCGGACCCCAGCAGCAAGCTAACCTACTGGTCAGAATGTCTATCCCCTGGTGGTCAGTGCACATCATAGCAACTGGTGGAATGGTTGAATGAACGGTCGGACACTTAGCATATTACGCTTTATTATATAGTATGAGATATTTTAAAAAGAAGGAAATATACAAAATATACAATGGCAATCTTTTGGTTATGGTGTTATATGAAGTTATTTATTCTTTTTACATTTTTTAATATTGAGTATGGTATGTCATCTGAACTAATACATATTTTTTAATACTTATCAAAATAAAATGTAATTCCCTTTTTCTTCCTCAGGTTGTGCATAGGCAAAGGTGTGCAGTTGGAATGTAAAGGTGAAGGTGATGTCTGGGTCAGGTGCCTCAGTGACCATGCAGTCTTTGTACAGAGTTACTACTTGGACAGAGAAGCTGGGCATATGCGTGGAATAGGTGTTCATAAGATCTGCCCAAAAATGTCTGTAAAGGTTAGTGGACGTTCTCCTATTTCAGACTTGGAAGGCTCTATTTGTTTAGAGAATTGAGATGGAGGGGGGAGGAGAAGAAAAATGTCCTTTTATGTATTAAATCCCAGAAATTATGTTTGTTTTTAAAACACATTTCCTTGGGGGCATTTACTGACACGGCTGGTTACCTCGTTTTGTGATTACATTCATGCCCTGTTATTTTAGTAGCAAATTTGTTAAATGTTTTAGACTAACACAGGTTCTTGAAAATATTGAGTGAAACCACAAGCATCTTCCTTTGTTATAAAATATGTAAAATGTTCATAGCCAATCTTTAGGATTTTATGAAAGGAAATTCTAATTACTCAATCAAATTAAGCCTAAGGTATTTTTTTATTAATTATTACATATTCAATTCATTTTACTTTGATGACAAACACTGTTTGAAAAGGAAATATTGTAGCCCTAACCGGTTTGGCTCAGTGGATAGAGTGTCAGCCTGCATACTAAAGGGTCCCAGGTTCGATTCCGGTCAAGGGCATGTACCTTGGTTGCGGGCACTTCCCCAGTGGGGGGTGTGTAGGAGGCGGCTGATCGATGTTTCTCTCTCATCGATGTTTCTAACACTCTATCCCTCTCCCTTCCTTTCTGTAAAAAAATCAATAAAATATATTTTAAAAAAAGAAATATTGTAATTAGATAGCCTCCCTTTCTCTCTCTCTCTCTCTCTACACACACACACACACACACACACACACACACACACACATACCATATATATACACACACACCCACACACCATATATATATGTTTTAATTGATTTTAGAGAGAGAAAGAAGCATTAATGTGAGAGAGAAACAGAAATCAGCTGCCTTCCGCAGTTACCCTACCCAGGAATCGAACCCATGCCCCTCCAGGACACAGGATGATGCTCATCCAGCTGAGCCACGCTGGCCAGGGCTTATTTTTGGTTTTTACTTCCTGTCATGGTTTCTCCCTTTGGAGCAATTCTGCCTTAGCCTGGCACCCGGGGATCCACATGTCAGAGCCTGCTTTTATATTTAGAAGGTAGAGGAATTGTGTCCCTTGAGGAAGCTGAGTTCCAGTCCCCTGGGTCTACTCAGGGTCTAAGCCCTGTGGCAGAGGTCGTTCTGATGCTTACCTCTGCCCTGGGCAAGACTTTATGCCTAAGTGCATTTCTGAATTAGCTGTAAGGTATTTCACCAGCACTTGATTCATGGGCAGATGCCCATTTATAGACCTCAGAGAGCCTGGCTATTGTCTCTTTGCATTTTATTCGAAGAAGCTGAATTTCCGTCCTCTGCACCTACTGTTTGTGGTCCTGGGACCCCAAGTACCTGCTGTCTTTAGCCCTGCTGTCCACTGTGGATTTATCCATCATCATTTGGTGGACTACGGGTTGTTTCCATTTTTTGGCTACTAGGAATAATGCTGCTATGAACATTCATATTGGAGTTTTTAGGTAGATGTGTGTTTTCATTTTCTTGGATATATAAGTAGGAGTGGAATTGCAGGATCATAGGTAACTCTATGCTTAACTTTTTGAGGGACTGCAGACTGTTTTTAAAAGTGGCAATGCCGTTTTACATTTCCACCAGCAATATATATATGAGGGTTTCGGTTCTCTATATGCTCTTCAACACTTGTTGTTATCTTTTTATTTAGCCTTCCTAGTGGATGTGAAGTGGTATCTCATGGTGATTTTGATTTGCATTTCCCTAATAGCTCATAATGTTGAATATCTCTTCATGTGCTTATTGGTCATTTGTCTATCTTGTTTGGAGAAATGTCTATTTAGGTCTTTTGTCCATTTTAAAAAATTAGGTTGTCTTTTTATTATTGAGTTGTAAGAGTTCTTTATATATTCTGGGTATCAGTCCCTTGTCAGATATATAATTTGAAAATATTTTCTTTTGTTCTTTAGCTTGTCTTTCATTTTCTTGATATGATTTGCAACCCACACAAAAGTTGTTCATTTTGATATCTTTGAGTTTATCTATTCTTTGAATGAGTGTGTTTTTGGTGTCATATCTAAGAAACCATTGACTACTCCAAGGTCCTGAAAATGTATTACTCCTGTGGGTTGTCCTAAGGGTTTTATAGTTCTGGCTCTAAATTTAGGCCTATTAATACATTTTTTAGTGAATTTTTGTGCATAGTTTAAGGATGTTGATCCAGCTTCGTTCTTCTGCATGAGAATATTCCGTTGTTTCAGCAACCATTTGTCCAAAAGACTGATTCCCTTATCAAATTATCTTGATACCCCTGTTGAAATTAAGTTGACCTTAAATGTAAAGGCTTATTTCTAGGCTATCAATTGTATTTCATTGACCTGTGTATGTATCCTTATGACAGTACTATTCTGTTTTGATTACTGTAGCTTTGCAGCAAGGTTTGAAATTGGGAAGTGTGAATTCCCTAGCTTTGTTCTTTTTCAGGATTGTTTTGGCTATTGCCACCTGCTGGTATATCCACAGGAATTATATGACTGGCTTGGAGGATATCAATTTTTATAAATATATTTTTATTTATTTCAGAGAGGAAGGGAGAGGGAGAGATAGAAACATCCATGATGAGAGAGTCATTGATCAGCTGCCTCCTTCACTCCCCTGCCCCACACTGGGGATTGAGCGCGGAACCCGGACATGTGCCCTGTCATACTGTGACCTTCAGGTTCATAGTTGACAACCACTGGGCCACACCAGCCAGGCGAGCTTATCAACTTTTAATAGTTTTTCTGTCTTTTGCATGTAAATGGAGCAGAGAGAGAAGGTGGTCATGAATACCTTACTCCTCCATCCTGACTGGAAGAGAGAGGGAAAGACAGAGAGAAATATCAATGTGAGAGAAACACATTGATTGGTTGCCTCCTGTAAGAGCCCCAACCAGGGCCTGGGCCAGGGAGGAGCCTGCACCTGAGGTACATGCCCCTGACCGAAATCGAACCCGTCTAGGACGCTTCAGTCCACAGGCCGGTGCTCTATCCACTGAACCAAACCAGCCAGGGCTACATGTTCTGACTGGAAAATTAGCTGCAGAGTCTCCATTGCGACTGATGTTCAGGAGTTTACAATTTAGAGATAGATAAGGCATATTCATTTACAGAATTTGATTTTTTAAAAAATTTAGGTATCTAACCATTAATTTGCCAGTTTTGATGTTATAAACATGCTTTTACTGCAGAATCCAGAGATAGTAAAGTTCTCATTCTCATCTACTGCCCTAATAGAGTGGCTGCGTATTCTGTTACATTGTGCAATGGAGAGACATCGTCGGGGTCTTCCAAGAAGCTTTAATGGAACCAAGACTCTTAACTGTTTCATTATTAGTCATGTCTTACTCTGAACCAGGCTGTTTAGATAGACAGGAAGTTTGCATGACCCATCCTGTGGACATGGCACTACCCCTTAAAGTCAAGTTGCTTCTTATCCCTTCACCTCCATTCCTAAAGAGAAAAATTGGTGGGGTGTGGGTAGATTGCAGTAATTTACTTTATAATTGGTGGTAGGCAGATGACCCAGGTGGAATGCAAATTGTCTTAACCAAAAGTTTTCAGCCCCTGTTGATAAAGTTTAGATTTGTACTTCTTGGCACTTGGACAGAGAATTATATGCTGGGGAGAGTGAATTAAAGAGAGCTGTCACGTCATTAATGTAAGATGTAGGGAGAATGGAAGAGATCAGCCTGTCCTCCTGATGTCTTTCCAATCTTTTCTGTTAGGTTTGTCAGCTGCTGCTGGGATCGGGGTTGATGACCTTCGTCGCTTATGCATCCTCAGGATGAGCTTTGTGAAAGGCTGGGGACCGGATTACCCAAGACAGAGCATCAAGGAGACCCCTTGCTGGATTGAGATTCACTTACACCGGGCCCTTCAGCTCCTAGATGAAGTACTTCACACCATGCCTATTGCCGACCCACAACCTTTAGACTGAAATCTTTACTGTCGGAGCCCTTAACATTCATTGTCAGGATGGTGGACTGTAACATACAATCCTGTTTATAATCTGAAGATATATATCACTTTCGTTCTGCTTTATCTTTTCATAAAGGGTTGAACACATGTTTTGCTGCCTTGCTCCTAGCAGACAGAAACTGGATTAAAACTCCCCCCACCCCTCCCATTTAGAACTTTTCAGGCATGGCTCAGAACTTGAAGGTCAGGAAAAACACATTCTTATTAAATTTACTGCACCAGTTATGTATGAAGGAATCATTCCAATCCTGGAAAATTTAGCCCTTTAAAATGTCTTAGACCTTTTTCTATGCAGAACATTGGTATATGTGCTATTCTAAAGAGTAAACTCAATATTGCTAATTTTAAAGGCAGAGACGTTCTCAAAGTTAATTCACCTATGTTATTTTGTATGCACGTTGTTATTGTTGAGCAGACTTTACTCCAAAATATTGTGCCATGTGGGTGAGTTAATGTTACCAAGAGCAACTTTACTCTGTGTTTAAAAAATAAGACAGTAATGTATTATAATCTTTTATCCAAAATGTATTTTCTGCAAGTTAAACTAGTGAAGATGATTTCAATTCAGGTTGTCTTGCGACTTCATTTTCTTTTCACCAAGGCAAAACACTAATCTCTGTGAATACTGAGAATTCCTTAAAATTATCAGACAAAGAAATACCATTTACAAGTTCAGTAGTTATCCCAGTTGGATAACGATTTCTCGAGTAGTATAACATTTCCCTGTTAAGCAGTAGATGTAGTCTATATTTCCAGGCACAGGGCTGGTTACCAAGAAGCCTAGAAGAGCCATTTCTTTCCTTCATTAATTCATAGGGAAAGGTTTTGTATTTTTAAAAACACTAAAAGCAGTGTCACTCCTCCAGCTCCCCATTCTGCAAAGGTGGCAGTGCTTAGAGTAAATGATGCGCATTTTGGAAACTGCTAAGTTCTATGTCAGATCCTGTGCGGACTAATGGAAACATTACAGCTCATAATAGGCAGTTTGGATATTTTTGTACTTGATTTGATGTGACTTCTTTTTCATATACTCTTTAAATCATGTATGTTATGACATTGTTTAAAATTCAGTTTTTGTATCTTGGGGCAAGATTGCAG